CTACCAATCACTAACACGTGTCCTCTCTTTTAAACATTTGGCAGATATACATGTCAAAAAAGGCGTCAACAAAAAAAACGTGACATCAATATTCTGTGGTTACTGTTCAGTGTTTGCTAAAATCCAAAACCAGCCATGGGGAAAAAAAAATTGGCTGTTTTGAACCAAAAATAATTATTTTAAGAAAAGTAGCGTTCAAATCTTCAATCTCTCTGATCTGAAAATTGTTATAGTATCAACAAAATTCAATTATTCTATCAAACCACAAGATATTTTTTGAAAAATAAAGCTCAAAACTGTATATAAATTCAAAAAAAGTATTTAAAATTTAAAGTTTCAAATGATGACATAACGGTATAGAATAAAATAGTGCGAAACTGTTCAAATAGTAACAAAACTACATAAACATATGTATGATATAGATTTTGTTCAATGCGAAACGGTACAGGATAACCGTCTCCACTAAAACTATATATAGTCTCAAAAAACCGGTTTTGGCTAAACTTTCTCCGATGAACTCTAGCACATGTTTTTAAAAATAGATAGAAAACAAAAAAAATCACAATCCTGTTTGTATAGTAATATAGTTGTAAATCTAGTGGAACACGAATTAATGAAACAATTAGCAAGTTTAGCTAAACATTAAAAAAAAAAAAGTACGAGGAAGAGCCAAATCTGCGCATGTAGGTTCAATGAATCAAAGAGGGACTGCATAAATCACGACGATCGAACTGACACACGTGTCATAATTCAACGAGTTTAAGAGATAAACACAAAAGTGGGTCCCATTTTAAGTACACACGTTAATTAGCGGCGGTGGATTCACCGATACACAAGTACATACACATCTGTATATTATATATATAAGTAGCACAAGACCCAAACCTTATTGCTAAAATTACAAAACATCAAAACACAAGTTTTGTTGCAGATAAAATTATCATCATATAGAGAGAGAGAACAAAAAAATGGGTATTCAAGAAACTGACCCGTTAGCCCAATTGAGTTTACCACCGGGTTTCCGGTTTTACCCGACCGATGAAGAACTTATGGTTCAATATCTTTGTAGAAAAGCAGCTGGTTATGATTTCTCACTTCAACTTATCGCTGAAATCGATCTTTATAAATTCGATCCATGGGTTTTACCAAGTAAGTTAACTATTTTAAACAATTTCTAAAAATGTTTCTTAAATTCTTTTTATATGTTCGTAGTTTTTATGGGGTTTTTTTTGTGATTTATAGATAAGGCAATATTTGGAGAGAAAGAATGGTATTTTTTTAGTCCAAGAGATAGAAAGTATCCAAACGGGTCGAGACCGAATCGGGTTGCTGGATCGGGTTATTGGAAGGCTACGGGTACGGATAAGATTATTTCGACGGAAGGACAAAGAGTTGGTATTAAAAAAGCTTTGGTGTTTTATATCGGAAAAGCTCCTAAAGGCACTAAAACCAATTGGATCATGCATGAGTATCGTCTCATTGAACCTTCTCGTAGAAACGGAAGCTCTAAGGTAACAAACAAAATCTCTAACTTTTTTTTTTTGTTTTGCTAGAAAAAGTCTCTAACTATTACCACTATAATGTATTGGATGATGTTTTTTTTTTTTTTTTGAATAAGGGTTTACTATATTGTATGATGTTGATGTATGATAATTATAGTAAACGCCTTGGTATACATGATGTCTGCGAAATTTGATTTAGTATTATATTTTAGAAAAGCATGAATTTTACGGGTTTATTTTTAAGAGAATATAATGTTATTTTCTCTCGTGACCAAGTTTGGTCATTTGCATGTGTTCGGATTACATTTGCACATGATCATTTTGTTTTTTATTCAAATCCATACATCCATTTTTTTTTAACATGTTAAAAAGTTCATTTCTTATATTGAATTTGTTATATATGTGATCTCTCTTTTTATGCTTAGGGCCCTCTGTGTGATTTATAGTTTTTTTTTTTTTTTAAAAGCTTAATTTATAGCGTTTTTAATTCGTTAATTTTGCAATCGTAACATCATTTTATTTATTTTTGTAGTTGGATGATTGGGTTCTATGTCGAATATACAAGAAGCAATCAAGTGCACAAAAACAAGTTTATGAAAATGTAATCACGAGTACTAAAGAATTCAGCAACAATGGTACTTCGTCGACGACATCTTCTTCTTCTCACTTTGAAGACGTTCTTGATTCACTACATCATGAGATCGACAACAGAAATTTTCAGTTTTCTTCTAATCCAAACCAATTTTCAATGATCAGACCGGACTTAACCGAACAGAAAACCGGGTTCAACGGTACATCGAGCTACGATTGGGCTAGTCTTGCATGCAATAATGAGCGTAACTCTAATCAAGAACTCGGAATGAGCCATGCTGTTTCTAATCTTGAGTTCAATTATGGCTACTTGAAAACAGAGGAGGAATTTAACAACTCGGACGAGTTGGTTCAAAAGAGTTACGGTGTTGACTCGGTCGGGTTTGGGTATTCGGGGCAAGTTGGTGGATTTGGGTTTATGTGAATGATGAAGCAATTAAAAMAAAACAAAAAAAATTGTAGTCTTCTAATTTTTGTCCTTTGACAAATTCTTAAGTATTTGGATTTTGATTCTTTTGGGTTTAAATGTAGATTTGTAACCTGTCATGCCTAGTTAGATTTTGTAAATTTTTTTTTATTTGTAAATCTTTTGTATTAGTATAAATTTAAGGGAAACTGACAAAAATAACTCAAAAAAAATTATAATCTAAAAACTAACCAATTTTCATCCTTTTCTCTATCTCTCTAACCAAATTATTAGTTTTTAGATTATTGTTTTTTTTGCTATTCCACAAATTCACCCTAAATTTAATGAGTTTAAAACTGCATATATTAATATATTGTTTGGTGGTAGCTAACTAGCTACATAAATTTAAGTTTTACTTGTTTGAGCTATAAACCTTGAGTTTGAGCCATTGAAGTTTAAAAAAAAAACCATTAAGCCATCTCATACCATCACTCATATTATAAACCTTAGAGTTTGAGCTAGCAAGATATATTCTAGTAGGGTACATTATATGGTTTCGATACAAATGCATTAACTACTACTATGAAAGTCTAGCCACAACAATTGATCAATCATTGCGCAGTTGAAATACATACTAGTATAACACAATAAATTGAATATACAGCAACCATTAAATGTTGAATTACAATTATTTGGAACACCCATGTCTTTTTTTTTTTGGATTATTTATTCTTTCTTTTATCATGGAACCAAGGGCCACTTAGTCGGAATATCGATTTTGACATGTTATAATAGTTAATTGATTTTGATTTTGTTGTAATTTATGTCAATTATTCGGGTTGATTTCTCGAATCTTCCACACAAAAAACATAATATCCTCTCTATTTCCGATAACTTTCATAACAAATATATCTCTTTGGGCTTGTTAATTAAACCGAGACCTTTTTGTACATATAGGCATGTAGCCTAACCGCAAATTAAAGAACTAATTATATACACCAACACAAGATTGCTTCCAAAAATTCTTAAAATATACCTAATTAATTAGAAAGTAAAAGGGAAAAGGAATTTTCCTTTTGTTGGTCCAAGGAAAAGGAAAACATATATCCCCGTTCTCTATATATATTAAAAAAGAAAACCTAAACCCTAAAACTATTTGCTACTATCTTTTACATTCTTCCGGGGCGATCATGGTGCTCAAGTTGATAAAATCAATGGTAGAAGCAATAACTCGTCCGATACAACACTTGATCATCACTTATCTCCGGTCTCTTTTCGGCTTTCCTTCGGTGACTCATCACGACCATGTCCAGGATGATCATGTGAAGTTTCTAATCGAAGACTCAACGGAGGTGGAGAAGAACAAGTTGATCTATGACTCCACTAGGGTTTATCTTTTCAGCAAAACCAACTTTGAACTCTGCGTCGGAGGATACAAGTGCGACGATCAATACCAAGGGGTCAAGCTCAAGTGGACGATTCTCGTTGATAAAACAAATTTTTGGAAAAAAAGCTTCGAGCTGAGATTTGACGAAAAGCACAGAGGTTTAGTCTTTGACTCTTACATACCTTACGTCGAGAGCAAGGCCAAAGAGATCAAAAGCATGAAGAGAACCCTCTACATGCACACATTCTCTCAATGGTCTGACGACGTTAATTGGGAAACCAAGAGCCTCGACCACCGTTCAACCTTTGAAACGATCTTTATGAAAGAAGAGGTCAAGCACGGCCTCACCCATGACCTAGACCGGTTCATCACAAGGAAAGATTTCTACACAAGAGTTGGACGACCTTGGACGATAAATTACTTGGTCCATGGTCTACCGGGGACCGGGAAGACTAGCCTTGTTGCTGCTATGGCTAACTATCTTAACTCCGATGTCTATAACCTACCACTTAAGCAAGTGGTCAAAAGTGATTTCGACCCAAGGAGACTACCTCTAGAAGTCATGGACGGATCTATTATCCTCGTGGAGGATATAGACTGCTCCCTCGAGGTTACAAGATTATATTTATCAAATTTCATTAATAATCTTGTAAGTTTGATTAATATATAATTTCAAACTAATTATACTTTTTTGCTGTTGTGATCAATATATAGGGATCGACGTTCGCATTATCGCAACTGCTAAGGTCCCTAGGTGGGCTTTATTCTATCGACGGTGGCGTTGTAATATTCACTACAAACAACATAGAGAGGCTTGACAAAAGATTGCTAAGTCGTATGCATAGGGATATTTACATGGGACATTGCTGTTTTAAGGGATTCAAAACATTGGCGTCTAACTACTTGGATCTCTCTGATGACAATCATCGTCTCTACCCGCACATTAAGCGTTTGATTGATGGACAAGTTGTTACACCGGGTCAAGTTGCAGAGGAGCTAATGAAGAGCCAAGACGTTGATGTGGCCCTTGAAGGTTTGGTGAGGACTTTGGAGATGATAAAAAGAGTTTAATGTCTTATAAGATTTTGATGAAGATGAAAAAAAAACAAAGACTTATGAGTTATATATTATCTTCAAGTGAGTTTTAGAAAGTGTTGCCGATTTTCCACAACATGGATTTCTTTTAGTATAAATGTTAACACCTAACCAAATTGCGTGTGTTGATTAATCTACTGGTTTACTAAAAACTTGTGATTCACTGGCCAAAGTAGGTTTTGAGTTGGATTTAATTTATAATTTGGATTAAGAAATATTGTATTAAATTCAATCCAAATAAATTTTGGATAAGTTTTGTTCGTCTTGGATTGAGTTATGGTAGTTTGGATCATAAATAATTTGACAAAAAAATATAAATCTAATTTTATTTTAGTTGTTTAGATTTTGTCAGTTTTATTACAGAATTTGATTATCTAACAAATAACCCTAACTAATATTTGTAATTATTATTACTCAATTGTGGCTAGACTTTATAGTATAAAATACGCAATACGACTATATATTAAATCATAACAATGACATTTGTGATTACAATAAAAATACTAATTTCTTAACATGAATTTAGTAAATAAATACCCAAGCTCATCATCTTCTTGAACATTACGAATAAAATTTGTTGGTAGATTTAGCCGTGAGTTTTATACCAACACATCAAATACTTTTTTTGATATGTTGTCATATAATTATGTTATCTTTTCAGCTTTAATTGTTAATATTTTCATGTATGAAATTATGTTGTTTTTCTAAACCGAAATAATCTAATAAAAGACATGTATTATCCGGCTAGACGATATCAGATGGTTTTGCTCAACTATTCAAAAGTTTGAGAGCGGAATACACAAACCGTACCAAATTGAAGTTAGTTTGACTAAACGCAAACAAATTCTAACCAAATCTAAGAACAAGATTGTAACACACAGAGCTGGTCCAACGAGTTTTCACGTGCCAAATTTTGGGAAGAAATAATATATCTACCATCAAATCAAATTATATTGTAAGAAATATATATGTTATTACTTGGACCGTCTTGTGTTCAA